CCCCAGCACCCAGAAGCACTCTGCAGGCTTCAGCAGGGCTGGGGGAAGGCAAAAATGCCCCTGTTTTTGCAAAAAATGGCCTGTTTTCCACCCATTTTTCACAAAAATGGGGGCGTTTTTGCCTTCCCCCAGGCATGCTGAAACCTGCAGAGTGCTCCGGGGGGCAGGGGGGGGGCAGGAAGGATAAAAGCTTTTTTTTCTTATTTACCTCTTCAAAATCTTGGTGCATCTTATACACCGGTGAGTCTTACAGTACGAAAAATACGGTATATATACTGGTAACAATAGTAGTAATGTAACAGAGTAATTTTAGTTAAATTTCTCTTTATATTGGCTTATTTATACTCCTGTTGATTATATTGGTGTATTTATAATCATGGATCATTTTTATATTTAATTCATACATAGCTGCGAACTTTCTTCGTCTAATTTCTACCTATTCTCTCTAACCACTCATAAAAAAATATTCCATGTCAAGTAATATTCTGTGCCTTCTTTGTCTTTTATTTTTAAAGTTAGTCTAGGACAGATAACTTTGCATGATGCAAAGTCCATGAGAGAAAAATTCTTCCATTCCAGAACTCCAAGCTCCACAAATACCCCAAAACTCTTGGAAAAGTCTGAGGATTCAAATTTCCTATTCACTTAAAGGTCCCAAAACTTTGTCTCTTGGATTATTTGGTAAATTAAGTGCTATTGTGGTGTTGCCTATTCCCTCCATCTCTTTTATTCATTTACCATGTCCACAAATTCTTAAAGAGCTTATCTTGTGTTCAGAACAGAAACTGGACTTTAGTTTCTTGTTACTGTCTGCCTTGCTAATTCAGTTCTGATAGTCCTTTAAGCCCTGATACATAATCAGGACTTAAACCAGGTGTTTTGCATATTTTCTACATCAAGTGAATGTGTCAACGTCCAACATCGAGGTCATGCCTCTGCGCGCCATTTCAGAATTGCCACAAGCGAGGAGGGGGTTGCACAGGGCGCACAGGTGGGTGTGAGGTGTTGGGTGTTTTTGCCAGCCTCAAACGCCATTGCGCCTCCTCAATCCTTCATCCCACCCCCCACCCTCCGTGAGTCCCTCACGACGACACCCATCACACCCATCTGTGGCCCTGCGCAATCCCCTCCCTTCTCCTCACTTGTGGCAAATCTGAAACGGCCCACAGGGGTGTGGCTTCAATGTCGGCATCTTGGTCATTGACAGAGTGATTTAATAATAGTGAAAAGTACCAAATTAAAGTGTGAAAGAAAGCCCATTTTTACCTTTAGATCCAACCTATGTGGATTTGCGCATAGTCTATGGGGAGATTAGAACAGGGGTGAAATGCAGCAGGTTCTGACAGGTTCTGGAGAACCGGTAGTGGAAATTTTGAGTAGTTTGGAGAAGAGGCAAATACCACCTCTGGCTGGCCTCAGAGTGGGGTGGGAATGGAGATTTTGCAGTATCCTTCCCCTGCCACACCCACCAAGCCACACCACACCCATCAGAACCAGTAGTAAAAAAAATTGAATTTCACCACTGGATTAGAATCATGAAACATCCCTAAACTTGCTAATTTGGATCCACAGTTCTTCCTTGGCCAAAAACACAGGATCAGGTTGTGAAATATCTCCTTTAAAAAAAAAAAAAAAAAACACAGCACTTTAATGGTGCTGCTTTTGTGTTTAAATTAAGGAAGAGAATGGGAAATTCTTGAATCAATGAATAACTACTCTTCTAAAAAGCCATTTCTGATGCGCCATCTTTGGCTTATATGATCCTACTTTCAACTAACTTTTATAGACTTGGGAAGCAGTTTGCACAGCTGTTGTGCTGATAAGATAACAAATGAAAAGTGTAAGTTTGGCATAGACAAAGAAGGTTGTTTCAGCATTCTCAAGTCCAAAGTTCCACTGAGTTCATTTGCGTTCTACATACCATGAATGCTAGAGATAGTCCTCAACTTACAACAATTTGTGTAGTAACTGTTCAAAGTTACAGCAGCACTGAAAAAGTGACTTAGGACAGTTTTCACACTTACAACCCTTGCAGTATCCCCATGGTCAGATGATCAAAATTCGGACTTTGGGCAAGTGACTCATATTTATGACAGTTGCAGTGCCCCAGGATCATGTGATGTCTTTTGCTCTTACGACCTTCTGACAAGCAAAGTCAATGGGGAAGCCAAATGGACTTAACAACCGTGTTAGTAACATAGTGTCTGCGGTGATTCACTTAACAACCGTGGCAATAAATGTTGTAAAGTGGAGCAAGGTTCATTGAGCAAATGTCTCACTTAACAACATAAATTTTGGGCTCAGTTGTGGTCGTACGTTGAGGACTACCTGTACTCAGATGTTTTAATGTTTTTTTGTATTTTAAAAGTTTTTATTCTTTTTATTCTTTTGAAATGTTTTTAATATATGTTTTCTGAGCTGCCCAGATAGGTGGCTGTAGAAAAATAAATAAAAAACACAAAAACAACAACAAACAAACAAGCAAACAAATAAATAAATCTCCAATACTAATTTCGTTGTATTTATTTCGTGCAATGACAATACAGACTCTACTATGCTATACAATCATCTCAGGGAATGTGACAGGGCATTAATGAGGCTGATTTCTACTTTCGTTAAGCTTGTGGTTTATAACTAAATAAACCATGTGTCACAAAGACATTGTTAAGAGTCATCTGTGCTGGCTGGTTCCCAGGGAATCACACTTTGGCATCTTTGGAATTTCCCCTATCTGGAAAAATCTTAATATTAGGACCACCACTTCTGAGCTGCTAAAATCCAGATTCCTGAAAAGCGCAGAAAGATAGAGAAAGCATTAGCTTCTTGAAGGCCAGATGTGTTAGTCATACATGATGAACATTCGATGTCTTTTTGATTCTGTAACACAGCCTTCCTTCCTTAGCTGGTTGGATTATGTCTGCATAACCCCAGGCCTTTAACTTTTCTTACTGTTTCTATGTTTTCACCATTGTCTTCTTTCTCAAGCAGTTTTCATTAGGATCTGATTTAATGATAAACAGCGAGCGATACCCCAGACGTTAACGAACAGTAACTACCAATATTCCTAGGAATCGTGACCTGCTTGGAAAGAAGAACAATATTGCAAGGCTTTGCAATATCTGGAATGCCTTGAGTTGCCTACTCTTGGCTTGATACAAGAATTTGTGTCACATTTTTGCCACCTAGAATTGCCTCAAACAATGACAAGGGGCAATACATAGATTCAATTAATAAACAAGGGTGTGCAGTTGCTTCAGATGCAATTCCCAAAAAGAGATTTGGAAAGAATCTTGCAGAATATGTCCTAGTTGCACAATTCTGGAAAAAAAGCAGGGTGCTTCAAAAAGCTGCAAAGAAGTGCTAGGTTTTTGGGCCACATGTCTGTGGAGATTCTCAACCATCCAGGTCATGGTTGTCCCAAGGGTGCTTTTCAAAAGGTAACTGCTTTTGAAACTTACCTTTTCAAAAGCACCTTTGCGACATTGGTAGTCCACCTGCTCTTAAATACCTTTGGGGATAGAAATTGACAAGTGCTGCAAAACTTTAGTGGAAAATATGCATAATTATATAATTATAAAATAGGGATGCGGTGGCTCAGTGGCTAAGATGTTGAGCTTGTTGATCAGAAAGGTGGCGGTTCGGTGGTTCGAGTCCCCAGCGCCGCATACCGGAGTGAGCTCCCGTTACTTGTCCCAGCTTCTGCCAATCTAGCAGTTTGAGAGCACGTAAAATGAAAGTAGAAAAATAGGAACCACCTTTGGTAGGAAGGTAACAGTGTTCTGTGCACTTTCGGCATTTAGTCATGCCAGCCACATGACCACAGAGATGTCTTCGGACAGCGCTGGCTCTTCAGTTTTGAAACGAAGATGAGCACCGCCCCCTAGAGTTGGAAACGAGTAGCGCCTATATGCAAGGGGAACCTTTACCTTTTACCTTTATGCATAATTACCCTAATGTGAAATGTTCTTTTTTCCCTTCTTGAAAGCACATTTAACAAATTAGATTTGTTCCACTAACCTATCCTGCCTTTCTGTTACCAACAGGGGCCTTCTTAATTCCATATGCCATCTTCCTCTTTATCTGTGGAATTCCAGTCTTCCTCTTGGAGACAGCCTTGGGACAATACACCAGTCAAGGAGGAATCACTGCCTGGAGAAAGATCTGCCCTATCTTTGAAGGTACGTTGGTGGTACATCAGAGATCGTGGTAACTTTCCATCAAGAACTTGGTGTACCTTTTGATTTGATTCCCTCTGAGTTTCCTAGCCACAGGGCATGGCTGAGGGCCAAATGCTGACAGTGCACCTGTTTCATCCTAGCCTCAAAGATAAAAGTGTGAGTCATCCTGAGATTCTCTGTTGGAGGTAGAATTAGTGTTGCCTAACCAAAGAGAGAGCTAAAGAAATGACCAGATTGGGAGGGACTAGGACAAGGCATGCTGTAGAGTTGGAATGCGTCCAGGATGCTGGAGAAAGCCAAGGGCAGATACTTGGAAAAGGAATCTGGAATCAAAACAAAGAGATATGCCGGTGATTACTTTTAAACATGTCCAGTGATGGGATTTAGATGAAAGCAGCAGCAAAGCAAATTATGGACTGGGGTAGATTTGTGAAGGCATCTCTTTCAAGAAGCAGCTGGATATTGAAAACTTTTTGAGTAGAGGTTCATTCTCTCTTGGAAGAGTTAGATTTTATTTATGTTAAATTATGCACACAGTTCTTTTCCTTCTAGCCAGCCAGCAAATCAGAGTCTGCGTCAGTGATGGGATTCATTATGTTTTTTACTGCCGGTTCTGTGGGTGTGGCTTGGTGGGCATGGCAGGGGAAGAATACTGTAAAATCTCCATTTACTGGAGATTACTGCAAAATCGCCATATCGTACAGCCAGCCCTTTCTACTGCTAGAACATACAGCTGAGTACTGGGCTCCTCCTCCACTCTGTCCCCCAACTCATTCTTCCTGGATCAGATAGAGCTTCTTAGCTGTTCCTTCTCCATTCTCCTATTTATGCTACTCATACAGTTCAGCATTCCTTAAGTCTTCTGCTGTTTTTCAGATGTGATGGATTATAACCCGTGCTAAGCACAATTCAAAGGCCAACCCTAATTGGCTGCTGGAAATAGAATGGGAGGGTGCTCATTGGGTCTATCTCATGCAGCAAAATGAGAAACGCTGGCCGAAATACAACAGAGATCATCCGCATTAGAATGTGTCTAATGAGAGCAAGTGTAAGGAAGTCAGCCAACAGAATGTGACCAAAGTTTATAAATTGTGCATGAGCTTATGTGCTTTGCTCTACAAACAACTTCATAAAATACTTTTGAAAAGCACGTTTTTTTCCCCAAATGCATATTGATAGGTTTTATTTATATGATGCATGTTGGTGCAAACAAAGCACAGAGTATGATATTTATCTCCCCCCCCCAAAAAAAAAATCTATCGTGCCAAACTGAAAGTGGTATTTCGGACTATGGTCATTGAAAAATGTCCTGATAGAAACATTGCTGCATCATTGCAGATTTCTTTTTAAACCAAATTGGGCCAGCCTAAACATTCGGAGTGGTGTCAAAAGAGGAACCAATAAGGCATCTTATAAATTAGGGAGGGGAAAAGAATAAGTGTACAAGGTCTCTAACCCCTGCACCCTAAACTTCAGGGCTAAATTAAGTTGGGTTAAGTTGACGGTGCAATGAAACAATGTGAAAGTACAGTTCTTATCCCATAGCTTACATTGCATCAGAGGTGGTATTCAGCCAGTTCGGACCAGTTCTAGCGAACCGGTAGCAGATATTTTGAGTAGTTCGGAGAACTGGCAAATACCACCTCTGGTTGGCCCCTCCTTCCGCCCGTGCCGTTCCCTGTCCTATATTCCCTTATTTTTTTAGCTCAGCTGATTCGTGCGGCAAAGCAGATTGCCACACCTCAGCTGAGCTAAACAACAGCTCAGCTCACCAGCGTTGACACCGAGGGTGGTCTTTGAGTGGTGCACGTGCGCGCAAAGCAAGCATTAGGCACGCGTGTGTGCAAAGCGCTCTCTCATAGAATTGGTAGGAAAAGATTTGGAATCCCACTGCTGCATTGCATAGACCGAATCTACTGTTTTCCATTTTGTCTCATGTATTGTTAGCATCCAGAAACTTCAGCAAAGAAGAGTTAAATCATCCCACAGGCTTTCCATTGTACATATTCCAAACAAGAGCTAAGTTTGGGCTGTGACGCATGACCAATCTAAAGGCCAAACTGCATGTGATGATAAATACATATTTCATCAACAATGCTCAATCTAACAATTTCGTTGGAGATGCAGATCAAGGGCACTGCACTGTTTTTTTAAAATAAAACTCTGCACTGAGTTTGGCTTCCAAAAATTCATAACAAAGCTGTCAAAACCAATATTGGATTTCTCCTCTTCCTCCTCCTCCTTCAACTTCTATGCCTGACCTTGGAGGGGAAGTGGGAGGAATCTTATTGTCTCTTGGACGTTGCCCAAAGGATATCAATTTTAGCTAGCATAACTAGCTAGTATTGCTAATGTCAAACTGACAATCTGTGGGCTTGATACGGCCTGCGCAGGCCACATCCCCTGGCTCCGCTAAGGCAAAATACATTGTGATATGTTACGATCTGGCCCACGATGTGATTGGGTTTGACGCCCTTGTTGGTTCACTTTGAACATGTGAACCCAGAAAAGTCTTAATTGAACAAACCGCACTTTGATTGTCCATGGATTGATGTTTTATGTAAACACACCTTCTGTACACTCCTATCATTAAAAATGACGGAGAGTCCATCTATGCTCTAATCAACACTCCTTGAATCAAGTTGCACATTTCCCATTTCCTGATTTAACTCATGCCTGTCTTTTCTTTCAGGAATTGGATATGCTTCACAAGTGATTGAATCCTATCTGAATATTTATTACATTGTCATACTGTCTTGGGCCCTATTTTACCTCTTTAACTCCTTCTCACCTGTATTGCCCTGGTCCAATTGCAACAATTACTGGAACTCAGGTAGGTGCATGAATTACCCATGCCTGCAACTATCTGCAGCAAATAATAACAGTAATATCAGTACATCTACTGGCTTTAAGTGACAAAACCGAATGGATTTATGAAATGTCAGTGATGGTCAACTTTGGCAACTTTAAGATGGGTGGACTTCAACTCCCATAATTCCTCAGCCAGCTGGCTAGGGAATTCTGGGTGCTGAAGTCCACCCATCTTAAAGTTGTCAAGTTTAGGAAGCACTACTTTAGGTGAATGACATGTTATGTTTTTTTTTCTCTCTCTCTGACTCAGTAAATGTGTTACATATGTGGGGTGTGCACTTCTTGAAACTGAACAGCCTTGGCATTCTTCCACTTAGAAAACAAATTCCTTATGCAACCAGATGTTTATGTTTATGTCCCACTGTAGACACACCTCCTACTTCTGTTCTGGAGTCAGCCTTTTCTCTACACATCTCTAGGAGGCAGGAGGGCAATTAGATAATTTTAAATCCCAGATTTAGTGTTGTAAGAGAGGGGTTGGCTTCTCAGAGGGGAATGGGACAACTTGCCACAGCCAATTTGCTGTGGCCAACTCACCACAGGACAATTCACCATTGTGAACTTGCTCCGGGACAACTCACTGCTGGATAATTTGACAATTCTGTTTAATTGTTTAAAGTAAATAAAAAGTTGTTTTAATTTTTGCCGTTCGCATTTCATTCTGTCCCTCCTTTTGCATCCTTTCTGTAATGATTCTATTCCATCATTTCTTTGATATTAGTGTATTTCCTGTCTCACAGCAAGTTGGCTGTGGTGAGTTGTCCCACATAAAGTTGGCCACAGTTAAGTTGGCCATGGTGAGTTGGCCAGGTCAAGTTAGTTGTGGTGAGTTGGCCGCAGCAAATTGTCATAGACCCTTCCAGAGAAGGTAGCAATGGACACTTCATTTCCTTTGAAAAGTAAGTACCCAATCTTGCTGTACTTGGGAATCCTTTAGCTAGTTTTAGCAAAGGGAATCTAAAACTTCTAAGTCCTTCATTGATGGCACCACTAGAAATTAAGCTGAGTCCTAGCAAAGAAAGAAATTTACACGATGGTATGCAACATTATGCGTTCTCCCGTGTTTCTGTTGTGTCCCCTAGGCAGTAATAAACCTCACAAAAATGTTTATCTGGTGCAATTTTCTCACAGTGTAGTACTTCAACACCCAAACCTCCTTTTTGGCTACTCCTGTCTTCCTGCTGGCTTACTCTTTCAAGTTCCTTAGAGAGGGTACATTTCTCTTCTTCATAACATGGCATGACTCAGCTGTTACATAACCCAATGCTTTGTCCAAATTGGCAGATGCCTTGTTTGGACTGGCCATTTTTCAGCTTCAACTTGTCATTGATTTCGTTCAACTTTACCTCCTGTGAAGCTTTTCTGATTTGACTGGCCAACCTGGTTTCCCGTACTTCCTGCTTAATTAAATAATAAAGATTAATTAAATAATAAATAAGATGTGTGTCAAAAGTCAAGATTGCAGCCATGGTCCTTTTTCTCTGTGGACATCCCTATTTCATAGGAGAGTGGGAAGCATTTTACCCGCCAAAATCCATCAAACAGTTTGTAAACAGTATGAAACCCATTTCTTTTAAAACATTTACAAAGGGTATACATCTACTTCTGTATCTCTTTTATCTCTAGTACCTATATTTTAAAATATTTTACACATCAATCACATTTACATTTCTAACCCTCAGCACCACCGAACTGACCTGTATACTTTTAAAATTTCTCTCATGTCTTTTCCACTCTTTTCCTCATATGCTCTCCTTAGTCAGCATCTGGCTTTGATCTTCTGAGCCAGCCACATTAATCTGGTCTCTCTTTTCCATGTATTTGCATCCACTCTCTCTCTCTCTGTGTTGTTGTTGTTGTTGTTGATGAGGATGATGATTGATACAAGGAAGGCTTGCATCATGACCATTCCACCATCTTGTCTTCTTAATACCAGAGCTTCCATGCAATACTTCTCTGTATTATTCAATCTATCTATATGTAAATCTCAATCTCTCTCTCTCTCTCTCTCTCTCTCTCTCTCTCTCTCTCTCTCTCTGTGTGTGTGTGTGTGTGTTTACCTCTGGAACACCTCAAGCAATTTCAACCAAACTTGGTACACAGATGACTTACTCTCTGGAAAGAAATACTATGGGGGTAAGACATCCA